TATATCTTCCGGATAATTGAACTTATTGTTTTAGAGTTTGAGTTAAACTGCTTTATTTCACACTAATCCCACACTAATCGTTATCAGGTATCATGGAAAGTTTGAAAAAAAAAAAAAAAGATTTTTTCCATCATCATAACTTTCCATCAACAGTAGAAAGTCTAAAACTAAAAAAAAGACAGCTTTATAGAACGAAAGTACACAGTATTTTTATTCGTACGGCAAAAAAACAGTAACAAATGATGCTTTTGATATGACTACTGCCAAAGCAGCTTATTTGAACACCGTAAAACTGCCACAATTTTAACAACTTCCGTATTAAAATCTTTTGAATTGCTATAGTCAATTATTTTGCTAACATCTTGCTTCTATTTTCTTTTTTTCTTTTATATACGTAATTTATCAAGTTTTCAATAAAGAGCATAGGGCTAGCCAGTTCAAAACAGTTCCTCCAATTTTTAGCTCTCCAGTGAACACCGATATAACAGTATAAAAAAAATCAGACCAGACTTGAGCAGGATGATTTCATAACAAACTGCCAAGTACTCTTAGCAATTTTAGTAGCATAAAAATAAAAAATCTAATTCCAGCCTAAAAAACGTTTTGTTTGCATCACTTTCCCCCAAGTTGTGATGTAAAAACTACCAAAAAATTATTACTGATACAATCGCTTTTTTTCATCTTTACGTTTCTTCCACTTGCCGTAGTTATGCGATGCCGACATGTACGCCACCTCGCAAAAGAAGAACACGAATTCACAGCAAGTCAGAAAGCTGATACCACACCATAAACCCAGTTGTCCACCAAAATCGGCCAGTAAATTGACGAACTAAAATGAGTCGTCTCATTAAGCTTTTACTTTTTTTTCGTTTGACTGCCACTTTTTATGCAGTACACTGCGGAATATCGTCTATTGCGAGTAAGAAAGTCAGTAATAAACAGTTGTGATGATTTGGTACAGAAATAATAACAAAATCTCTCTTTACACCTGAAAAATTTCCGTAAATGTCTTCATAATCACTAAACTGTCAATAATCCTTTGAAGCAGCGTTGAAATTACTAAAACTGTATAGTAGAATTACAAAGTACGTACACCGTATGCTTCAGATTCTGTTAGCATCTCAAAGTTCAACTGTTCGTAAAAAACTTCAATCATTGCTCCGTTGTCTCTGAAATGTTTCTTCATCAATAAGTAATTTTTAATATGATTGTTAATACTGCAGTGATTCAGCAGCCTTAGTTGCTGTACTATTCCAAACCCATCTGTAGTAGTCTTAGAATAAATCTCCAGCATAGTTTATAACAGGACGTATCAACTTTTCTCCTCAGTTGGATTTTTTACTTTTCCACCTGAAGGTCATAAGCAGGCAAAAGACTCCTTCAACAATGTTTATTAGCTTAAAGTTATGTTGCCAAGAAAAAAAGTTTTTTACTACCAAAGAACGCTTTTACTAAAAAGATTACCAATTGTCCGTTCCCCGGTTGTTGCTCTAAAACTGTAACAGAATGCGCTGCAGCAGAAGAGTTTTTATTTTTAGGTTAGGAAGGAGAAGCTTCCTCTTTCTTTGATCATGATCTTTACATTCAAAATGTGGCTAACAAATATATTGCAAACTTAAGTATTCATATAATTGGACCTGTAGTGCTTATTGCATTCACTGCTCGTTCCGGTGCATGACCCCAATGGTACCTGGAGCGAATTCGAAGGCCACTTTGCAGGCGAATATGTAACTGAATAGATCGACTGTTTGCATGGTTGCTGACATCTGCAGCGGAAACTTCCATGAAGACCGCCCAAATCGCTGGTACGTTGCTCCAAACAAGACCCTGAATTAAGGAACCGTTTAACATCCAAGCAGATGTGCAGGTCTTTCTGAAGAGAGCTATGAAAAATAGTGCCTCAGTTTTTTGAATAAGCATATTTCGAACGTATGGGTAATGATATGCTTTATTACTTGCAGCATCATCTTCCGGCCTGCAGTGAGTGTAACCATTAGGAACTGGAAATCGTGGATCACCACAGCCACATTCTTTTAGGACTAACTGTTGAAAACAAGAGCGGTAACAGCCCTGAAATGATCAGAAACGTATTTGTAAAACTTCTGATTAGAAGCCTCCCTGGTTTTATTCGAAAATGAACCTCAACTGAATATTCATAATTCTGATAAACGTAGTCAGAAGTTTTTCCGTCAGGAACACAATCTCCATATGGCGCTGGCAGTCGGCTCATTCGGCGCTGAAGCATTAATTGGGATAGTAGACAACCCAGATTGTTTAGATTAAAAAAAGGTGATAAAATAATTTGATTTCTAGAGCTGTTGCCAGTAGCTCAAAGGGTATGAAGAATAACTTGAAATTTAAGTTTCAAAATGTATAACGTAGTGCTGCGATTGTGAACAAGACACTCCTAATAATTTATTAAAGAGCTGTGGTTTGATTATATAAATCGTCAGGTACTGAAGACAATTTTCGAGCCCTTTTTTGTCTAAAAACCTTCTCAAGAAACCGAATAAATAAAAACCAATCTAAGCCCAAACGAAGATATAGTTCCTGTGGGTGCCGAGTAACCAAAGGTATCTGGGAAAGGAAACTCTTCCTTGTCATGTATCGTTAGCCTAACTCCTGTGGCTTCAGTAGTCGGCATGTACTGTGAAGCGTTCACATAAACCAACATCCGGAGCCCGTACATAGGACCTTAACAAGTTGCTTATTTCTTCAAGCCTCTATTTTACAGTGAGGAAGATTTTACTCAGTTTGGATAAAAGAAGACCTTGCTCAACACGGTAATGTTTAAATCCATTCTAGAATTGTGATAAAACATACTTCAACTGACCTGCCTTGATACTTGTTAAGTTCTGACTTCGGTTATGGTTGAACGTGAAGCAAGAGCCGAAATTTGGATCGACATGAGTGAGAAAATCGCTAGAACAAATTGAGTCACAATGTTGTTTTGAATAATATTTCAAAAAAATTTTGCTTAGCAGTAGCAAAAAAAAAGGAGTTTTTGATAAAGAAACATCTGGTTTGACCAAACTGATCAATGTCGCACGCGAGACCGTTGAATGAGCACTTATGTATCAGCTCTTGTTTTGGAGTCGATATATTCTGTCGTGCTTCCATAGACAAAGTTGCTGTCACAAATAATATATTTTCCTTTCCTTTTGTCACGATAGCCACCTAAAGAATTTAAAATAAAGCAAGTTTTGTTACACATGAAGAAATATAAAAGCAATTTAAATTAAAAAGTTAACCAGACTTTTTTGTCAGCAAAAAATATGTATAGATTCATGGAAAAAACTGGTTATCCGCTTGGTAATATTCAGTATTTTATAAACCTCATCAGTCATTCCTTGAAACCCCATTGCCTTCAAAAAGGTTGGATCTTCAGTCGGACCGGCTAGATATTCCCATATTTCTATCAGAGCAGCAGAACCATCGTATGCAATGCAATGCTTACCAACGCATAAACAATCCATACGACCATAACGATCTAAATTGACAATAACTGGTGAAGATAATAACAAACAATTATATTTTCGTTTTTTTCTTTTCATTTTCAAGATAAACTGGTCCAGAGTTAATTGAAATTGAAAAAAAAAGTAAAGTACAGCTTAGAAACATAGTAAAATAGTTTCCTTCCAATTACAGCTAAGAACTTTTATTTGTTTGAGGTACAACAACCTCTGATACAGGTAGCTTGCTGAGTACAGTTTGTGCAGGTATGAGGTTCCCATTCTTGAATGGCGAAACACGGGTAGGCATCAGTTGTATAGCGATCAAATGCGCAAATGCAGGTTTCGTTTTTGCTTTTTGGTATTTCTCTTTTTACATCTTCTGGAGCTAAGTATCTGTTGTCTTTCCAAACGCATTTCGAGTATGCATGAAAATATTACTCAACCATTTTTTTTGCATAATTACATTATAATGTGAAACATAAATCAAAAGTAAATTAATACATTTTCGGTTATTTTATTTAGAAATAACTTTTTTGGCTCCTAAGCATTTTTTTGCCAAAAAAAGATTGTCCATAAGCCATTAATTACAGTTCTCCTAAAACTATCCCAGCTTTCTTCCTTTATTCTTTGAAGATTAAAAAAAAGCAGTTTAAGATGTCTCAGACTATAGTCACAGACGATATTCAGAAAAATAAGCTTCAAAACTCAGATCCGAATTAAGTATCATCTTGGAACCCAGGTAAATATTGCTGAACAGAATTAGACGTACGAGACGCCTATTACCTACTGTGCACAATTGAAAGCTTGCCCTCTAATTAATTCTTTAATTAGCCTTTAATAGGCATTTTAATGTAAGCTGCATATTTTGTCGTACACCTCAAACCGTTTCCGATCTTCCCTCTCCGAACTGTATGACAAAACGAACACTTTTTTAATGCCACTAAAGTTTTTATAATCAAAAGCCTCAACCATTAAATGAATGGTACTTAAAAGTCATTTTTGAACAGGTAAGAATAAATAATATCTGTTAAGAAAACTGAGAAGTTAAAAAAAACACAGCTGACTACTACTGGTAGCTCAAAACAAAAATAAGGTAATTCGGCTGGCATAAACGGTTCCATTCACTAAGATTTGAATAGTTTGCTAAATTTTAGTTTATAGTTGGGTCCTCTTTTCGTTAGAAATCAGCAAAAAGAAGCCTGCCAACGAACTGGCTCATAAAGAGAAACTGAATCAGGTCGTTCAAAGTCTCCAGCGTCGCGTTTTCCGCGACCGTTTTCTGTTGTGGTACGGCCTGCTTTCTTCATCGCTCCACTAAAGACGTTTAGCTAAAGAAGTAGGTTTAAAGGTTCCAGAATTGTCGAGAAACTTCTTTAAATTGCTCAGGTTTAGTTAAAGTTTATGTGAAAAATTTTTAAGTTATATTAAGAGTAGTTTATAGGGGTAAATTGTTTTTCTAGATCTTGAAGTTTATCAGTGAGGTGAATGGAATAAGTTAAATGAAAAGAATTTCAAAGGGACGACTGAAGATTTTATTGGCTTTGATAAATGTCTTTTCATCTATCAAGTGCCAATATTAATCATTTGAAGACTTTTTTGATCTCATAGAAAGGTGCTTTGCTAAGCTAACGGTACATCAAATTTATAAAAATAGTTTTCAAAATTGACAAGTTTGAAAACAACATAGGTTATACGATTTCGGTAATCAATGAGTTACAGTTTGGTTTCCGAAAGATTAATTCAATTAGGGGCAGATACACTGTTAGACTAAATTAACTTGACCTACGTAAAACATTTTTGTGAAGTTACCGTTCGATTAATCAGATCGTGGTTTTTTGCCAAACCAAGTTTGTAAGGATTTAAATTGCATAGCGTTATTGCTGGGAACGGAGCGCTCTCTAAAAAAATTTGATTCTGCAAAATAACAAAAATTTGTAAATGAATTTTCTGGGCATAATTATGAGATTTTAACAATTAACCATTAATAATTTATTGAAAAATTTGAATACCAAATTTGAGTTGAATGTCAACAATTTTTTCGTTACGATGATACTTATTTAGCACACTTCTGGCATTCTGATAAAGCATTGTAACACATCCAAAAAATAAAATGATCCAAATAATCCTAAAACCTTTTGTGATTATTCGTTTGACAGGAATGGTAAAATATACTAAAATGAACTGCAGTGACTGATCACTGAAAAAATGTTTTCCGTTTTCTTCTTCTAGTTTCTATGAGGATATAAGTAAGTATCAGCAAAAACTGTGCATCGGTGAACGATCAACAGTTTTTTGGTTTTATTAAGAATTTTTCATAACCTGTAGTATTTGTTTGGAGCTTGCCCGATCATCGGAATACCGTGTGCTGACGTTTTTTCGCAAAATTTTCTGACATGATATGTTAAACGTCTATCAAATGGTAGCTGCCGATAGTCAAATTCACCTTCCACTAAATCGCACTAGAAAATTTAGCATTTGTTTTTTATGCATTTTTTTAAATGTTGCTCTACAGGTCCATAAATTTCTTCAGACAGTTAACACCAACAAAGAGTTAATTGTTGTTTACACTTTATCGTACTGCAACAATTTGGATCATTCTACAAACAATAAAAAATTTTAACCTTCTGCGTCACGTATTTTTGGCACCAAATACTTGTGATTTAGGCTAGTTAATGGTTTTTTCTGTAACAGCTAGAACATAAACATTTCTTTTTCTAGTTAAAATTGAATGTCAATGTCTCCTCGTCGCCTAACTTTTTATATTCATTTTCATTTGTGAGTTTTTTGCCACTTTGAAAGCACCTATTTTATGTTATTTATTTTATCGGTTTTTAAGTTGGCCTCAGTTGAACGCTGGCTGCTCCAATTGTCTAAAGACGGAAATGTGGATAAGAAACGCTTCCAAAAAATTTTTCTGAAAAGCGAGAAGAACAGCGTGAAAGCTAATCTTGGAACCAATGTGTTGATATATATATCATTCTTTGAAATGTTTTGTTCTTCATAAAACTGCTTTTGTAAATTATCTAATTATTTGACCAATCTTTTGCATTAGTAGTACAAAGAATCACAACTGCGCATTGTGATACTTTAGAATGATACGTCATTTTGGAACAATTAAAGGTGGAGACAAAATTGTTTTTCATTTCATGAGTTAACTCGATAGTCAGCCAAAAAATATTTCAACTCAATTTCTCTAGAGTTAAGAAAATAGAAAGTTTGTGCTCTCAAAAAATAACTCTTTCACTGCAGTGACAAACGTTTTTTATCGCTGTTAAATTGCCTTTGATAAGTTTGTCTTTTCTTATACGTATTTTTTTTTTGGGAATGGATCCTTTTTATTGTTTTTTTTTTTCAGAATCTTTCAACTTATGTTCATTTGAGTTTAATTTGGCTGTATCTTCCAGCCAATTTTTTTATCCCAGTTAACTTCAGTAGCTTTTTTTTTATGATCTAAGAACAGAACTTCTTGTTCACGAGAGCTTCTAGCTATTTTACTTCACCTTCTTTCCTTGTCGTGTTAAACCTTCGACCTCTGTTCGTTACAGTTCTCCAAAGAAAACTGTCATGCTCTTAATGTAGAATTTTTGTATTTCTCAAGGCTACTTGCATTAAAAGCTTTAAAACCTGGCTAAGAATTTGATAATTTGAATTTAACAAACTCCACAAGATGTGTCGTGTTTTTTAAATTGTATATTTTTGGCTTTAAAAACGCAGTTTTTTTTTCCAAATTTAGTTTAAACCTTACTTGGACAGACGATGATGAAGAATTAAAGAACTCTCCATATCCAAAGTTTCCGAAATACTCACGGTCTGTCAAAAACTTATTGCTTTTTTTCTCCTTCAACAACAATTATATTTTTATTTCACTTGTTGAGACAGTTTTGTATTAACTAAGTAAAAATAAGTAAAGCTAATAGAATAAAAATCTGATTAAAAGTGAGAGCAAACTTTTACCAAGCTGTATTTCTCTTTATAATAAAGGTAAAAAACAATGTTTGAAAACAACAATGTAAAGAAATTTTCAACCAACTTTTTGGCGTTAACATTTACTTAAGTTATCAGCAGTTCAATATCAACTAGGCTCATCACAAGTGAAAATCTGATTACAATTTACTACGTAAACATACATTAAAATTGCTTGAAAAAGTTTAAAACTTACAAGAAAAAATTGTAGATGCTTTCCATAGATAGCAGTGATATAATCATTTGAATCCTGAATTTTATCCTGTAGTTTCATTGCTCTGTCTCAAGAATTTTTTAAAGCAGCAAAGCTTCAAGGGAAATATCCCTGACTATTTAGTTCATTTTGAAGGTTTTCAGAATAACAGTCTAGAAGATTTCAACGGACCAAAAAATTATGAATGAAGAAACTATTTATGAATAGATATTAGCGACAGCAGTTCAACTGAGAGAACTTTTGTACTGTTAGAGTAAAGCAACTGATATGTATGCTGATCAACTTCACAACTGCGGCTAAAAAGGCCTTAAAAAATATCATGTTTTGGCAATAAATTTAAGAAGACAGATGACTTAAGCGTGTAAAAATTAATATAGCATGAAAAACAAAGAATATGCTTTTGCATGTTTTTAAAGCGTAGAAAGTATAAAGAGTAGAGAAATTTGGCGTCTGTTGCGTAGTTATAAATGCATTAGACTTCTCTTGAACAGTTGATCTGCTTGTACATTCTAAATAACATCACTAAAAGCTTCTGATAAAATTAGTAAAAGATATTCATGATACTTTAGGTTCATGAAAAAAGTGATAATCAATTGAACATTTCTGCTGAAAAACTCCGTGTTCTTTTGAAATGAAACCTATTTTCATTTAGTTTCAAAGGTGATAACTAAATTTTGGTTGGCTTTTTGTTGCTAAAGCACATTTTTCTAAAAAAAAAAAAAACTTTTTTGTTATAATTTTTTTAAGGCATGAAGTTCTAGAATTTTTTAAATATTGTTCACTGTAATATATCGACAGCTTTTTTGAAACTTTCTTTTTTATTTTACTAGTGCATAATGATAAAATTTTAGCTTAATACCAAACGCAGCGAGAATTCTGAGCCATTTCTTTTGTCTAAACTATGTATTTTCTTACTTTTTTCAGTCTTTTGGACTCTGCTAGTGACATGTTGCAGTTTTTAATTCCTAATAACTGATTTACCGGCTGTTTAAAAAGTTTTAAAGCTAAAAAAAGTGACTTGAGTGAATCTTTTCTTCTTTTTCATCGCTTTGAAGTCTTTGTCACTAATAATTACCTTAAGTCTGGTTTCTTAAAAAAATTCTTCAAATAATTTTCTTTGAAATTAAAAAGAAGGATTAGGTCTCAGATAAAGCGCGGAAAAGAAGTTCGCATCAGATTACAAAAATTTTTAAGTTATTAGCAAATTTTTATTATTCATTTTCTGTTGATAGTTATCTTCTTCTTAACAGAGATAGATATGAATAGGAAGTGAGGTAAATATTTAAATGTAATTAAATTTTGAAGTTAAAAGAAATTGCGGCTAAACTTATTGTGTAGTTACTATAATTTTTTATTGAAAAATAGTCACCTGTAGTCGGAAAAATTTTTTAGTATACAATATACTTTGTTTAAAGCAATAAATATCTGATGTTAAAACAGTGGGCTTTTGTGCTAATTCAATTTGACGTTAAACTTATTTAAGATAAAGCACCAATTTGTTAAGCAATTTTCTAAATATAGGTGAACCGCAGCTGTGTTTCATGCTCGGCTTAAAGAAGTAATTTCAACTATTCCATCATTTCTTAACAAATCTAAACGGAACCTTTTAATGTTTGGTGACAAAATGTTCATTCAGTCCGCTTGAAAATGAGTCCAAAAATCAACAAAAAAGAAATTTAAATTTTATGTATGGTGTATTTTTCCCATCTTCCATATCAAATATTGAATTCTTCACCTATATTCCTTGAACTACTTTAAGTTTTCTGCCCGGTATACATTGATTGAGCTTCCTAATTCTTAATTGTTACCGTCTATATATTTTTCAAAATTGGATTACAAAATTTGTTTATATAATAGAAATTCACTGATTAGTGCTTATTATCACTGCACTAAAAATGATAAAGAAAGCCTCAAAATTTTGCTGTTTGATGTGTAAATTGTCTGTCGTTAGAAAAGCGTGCTGAGAAATCCAGGGAAACTAGAAAAAAATGATCTTAATATATTTCTTGCTCAATCTTTTTTATATGATTAGTGCACTAAAGGTTACTTTTTGTACCAAAAGCATGAGATCACTTAGTGTTTTTTAGTTGAAAAAAGCAGCTTTTTTTTTACACACGATTAATGGATACCCTGATATTGTGAGGTAATACATTAATGCTTTCTATTGCTCACCAATCTCACAATATGCAACAACTTATTTACATATGCACACTTTTATCACGTTATTATTAGACTAAAACGTGTAAATTTTATTCTCTCTGATACTTTTTATCGACGTCTAAAACTGTCTGTCGTTTAACTGCTGTAAATAGATCAAAAAATGAGCCGTTTACAATCAATTTTCACTCACGATGCTTGTGAATACCTCAAGTTAAAGAATGTTTATAGTTTCCAAAACATGCTACATCGACAGTTCAAACTGCAAGTGGATCAATATTAGCAGAAGATCGAGAAGTGGTATTGAAAGTACGTTAACAGCTGAAATTAAAGTTGTCGTTTTTATTTTACAGCTTTGATTTTCGATAATTTTATTTTTTCTGTTACAAAGCAGCTTGGAAGTGAAAGTCTATAATGTTAGATCTTTAAAATTCCACATACAAAAAGAAGTCAAATGTAAAGTTTACTGGCTTTGCAAAGAAGTTTAAAATTGGGACTTTAGGTTTTGCGACTGTATCGGTCACAGCATTCAATTTGTTGCATTTCAAGTGACGCTTTTTCTGTCAGGCAAAAGGCATCTGAGAGCAATAAAGCTAGCAGGCTGCTAAAGAACAAGTTTGACAAGTTTTTTGTCAAAGTATAGCTAACCTTGAAGAGAACAATCTTGAAAATTGAGAACTTTTTTTTGAAGATTTCACTTGTTTCAGAAGCATTAGCTAGCACTGGAAAAAGAGTTCAGTTAGCTCAGAGAACAATTCAAAGTTTGAATGCATCATATGACAATGTTTAACAATTTCTTCTCTTCGTTGCTTTTATATGCACTTTGATGAATTGGTAAGTTTATGCTGCATTACAAAGCCAACAAAAAATTTTATTCATTTTCTCTTCTAAAATCGTCAAATTTTCAGTAGTTTATTATGGGTACTTTGTTTGATACAAAATGTCTAATATTCATTATCTGATGAGTGAACTCGTATTCTGTAGTTTGTTGCTGAAACGATTTAAACGACTGATTATTACTTTTCTGTAGTTACTGTTGTTCCAAATAATTTTATGCTTAAATATTTTGTTGGCTTAGAATACTGAGGTTGTTCTGTGTTGCTATTTAAATTGTTGTGTTCTCTGTTTGAAAATCGTTACACCGTTTTGGTAAGGCTTTTTTTTTTGCCATATTAGCGCTATACGTTATGTTTATGCTTGAGATCTTTTTATCCACAAACAAGTAATATACAAAATACTTCTCAATTTTCTTATTAATAGAGGCTGTTTGCTTTATTTTTTCTCTGGTTAGTTTTCTTTTCTATAATGGCATCTTTTTTGCTCTGTTTTTTTCTGCAGTGAAAAGCTGATTATTTTGACCTTTGGTCTATTCCTTTGTTATTATCAGTTGACAGTGTTGATGTGTTTTGAAGAATAAAAGAGGTGAAGAAGGAAAATGGGTAATAAAAAATTGTTGGCAAGATGTGAGAATAAGTCGGAAATTAAAAATTTATGTTTATTAACATGGCAAATATTTTGTTTGAAACTATAATTTTTTTTTTTTTTTTTTGAAAACAAATATACTGACTATTTGAAATTGCAATAAATCCTTGTTTTAAACACTTTATTTGTTTTTTTTCAGGTAAAAAAAAGAGAGAGAAAAATATAGATTAAAAAAAAAGCAAAAAATAACTCATGAAATCTTTGTATTTTCATTTTTTTTTCTACAGTATTTGTTTGCAGTTAAGTCTGTTACCGGCTGAATACAGTCAGAAAGTAATTTGATCGGATATGTTGCAGCAGTTGAGGAAACTGTTTTTTCATAAAGTGATAAAAGAATAGGACTGTAGACAATTGCCATCGGATTCTTTATTTCAATACCTGTCATCGTGTTAGTTTCATCAGATAAAAAAATGAAGCTTTATAACTGTTTAATTCAACCAAAAAAAAAAAAAAAAAAAA